CTCACTTTGGTGGGAAAACACCGCCGCGAGAAGGCAGTGAGTAGGGCTTCCTCAGCAGAGGCTATTTGAGACGCTTGGTCGTATGGGGGCATTTCGTGAGGTGCAAGGGCAGGGTGACCAGCCGCAACCCTAGACACCCACCCCAAACCATACTGAGGCCTTGGGAGGCTGACGGTACTTGTGGTGATTGCACTGACCCATATACGTACGGGTCGATGTATGTAAGATGAGGATCACGGGTGAGATGGGTCCGGCGTGCGCACGTGATAAGTATTGTTGTGATCAGCTTTTGTGATAGGCGTGTCAGCTTAGCTTTCGGCCGCTCAATGAAATGAAATGCTTGGTGACTGGACACCCTAGCAGTACCCGTCCATCAAACCCCAACGCATACACAAAATAAAAATAATTTCACACTGCATCGGTCGTCGCGCAGGATAATCAGGGTCGCTCTGCCCATTGCATCGAGCGCGGTGGGTAGTGATAAGTGGGATACTGCTCAGATATCTCAACCTTTGTTTAGTTCTTTGTCTTAAGTACCCAGATCTCTCCATTTCACCTTCTTACGACCTGTAATAGTCCCTCAAACAACTTGGATTTCGCTCGTCAAAGGTCGTTACCAAATAGCACTATAAGTAATGCATCTCGAAACGAATTGCAGATTCTAAAGCCTCGTCAATCACTGAATCTAGGGGTCTTCAACGTGAGGACCCTGATTCAGGCAGGCCAACAAGCGTACAATAGAATCCTTGGGGATTGATATTTGCTGCGTGTCGGACACTCGGATCCAGGATCCTACTACTATAAGCCACTTGAGCGCGCCAGATTTGTCTTCCAGATATGCTCTTCGCACATCAGGCGACGAAGAAGCCCGCTCAGTGGGTCAGAGCGGGGTAGGTATTGTACTCAGCAACAGGGCGGAGTCCTCTCTTATCGATTGGATCCCCGTCAACAGTAGCTTATGTGCAGTGCCTCTCCAGGGTTCAATCAGCGTCCGGAAGGAAATCAACACCAAAGGGTGTTTGTTCATCGTATCAGCATATGCACCGACCAATTGCAGTTCTGCTACCTAAAAGGACGCCTTCAACCACGACCTCATCGATTTCATTCGGATGAGTCGAAACTCCGACATAGTCGTACTTGCAAGTGACTTCAACGCGCAGGTTGGAAAACTGGGAGCATCAGAAGATTGCCTAGGAGGTAGTTGTGCTCTACCCAGCCAACGAACAGATAACGGAGATCGACTTCTTCAGTTCTGCGAAGACCATCTTTTCTTATCAAGCACCAACTTCCGACACAGCTCTCGACGGACGACAACGTGGCGCTCCAGTTTAACTCAAATCGGCCACATCGCAGTAAGTTGCCGTTAACTTGGCTCAGTGCGAAATTGCAGGTCCTATTGGACCACCTGCGGTGAGTCTGAACATGCATTAGTTTTGATACAGTTCAATCTCCGACTGACTGGTCGGCGACAAAACCAGCAACCTCGGATAGCTCATCAACGACTATCTGCCCCAGCAGTTCATGCACTCTATGAGTCAGAGCTAGTGTGTAAGCTAAGTGCGCCTCAGCGTGGTGATGTAGACGAGCAGTGGGATCAGACTAGACGAGCAATGCTTTCCGCAGCGAATGTTTCTTGTGGGTCTGAGCCTCAAATCCGTCGGAGGCATTGGATATCTCAAGAGTCAGTAGCCCTGATGGAGCAAAAATGGCAAGTCCCGACCTGACAGGATCAAAATAGAGTTAGGTGGCAGCTACAACGTCGGCTCACGAAGAGCCTCTAGAAGCACCGTAACAACTGGTGGGTAACAATAGCTGGTGAAATGGAAGTAGCAGCTGCATCAGGGAATGGCTAAAAACTGTTCCGACTGAAACGCAGTAGGGGAGCTCGGCGAACTCCAGTTAATGAAACAGTCTGCAATAAGAGGAGACAAGCTATTCACAATAGGGATCAACGAATCGATCGTCGGGCACAATACTTCAGCGAACAGTTCAGCTGGCCTAGTGCTAACCAGGTTGCTTCATCTCCGACTGAAGCTCTTTGGGCAGTCATGCGAGCCTTCAACGGAAGCAGAAGTTCGGTCTTGCATTCAAGCTCTGAAGCGAGGAAAGG